AAGTCATATAGGAATTGGTGCAGTATTACTACAAGAAGAAGATCAACAACTACACCCTATCACATATGTTAGTAGAAGTCTTTCTAAGGCTGAGAAAAATTATTCTGCGACAACATTAGAAGGTCTTGGTTGCATATGGACGTTAAGTTATTTGAGACATTTAATTTATGGCAGACCTATAAAAATTGTAACAGACCATCATGCGTTATGTTTTTTAAAATCAATGAAAGACCCCACAGGACAGTTAGTAAGGTGGTCGCTAAAGCTATCAGAATACGATTATACGATAGTACATAAAAACGGAGTAGCGCATAAAGATGCTGATTGTTTATCACGGAATCCAACATCCGATTTAACAGCCGATGACAGTGTTTATGATATAGAAGACATACCAACATTCCTACTTGTACCCACTAATATAGCAAAAGAACAAAGATTGGACACCGAGTTAAAACAACTCATGGATGCTGTGTCAGACCCATCTAACCCTTCTATTCCAATAGGCTTGGCGAAAAGAGCAAAAAATTTTCGAATTAAAGATGAAGTTTTATATAAAATAAATCCGCATCCAGAAGGCCGAGATATGCTACTCGTTATACCTAAGACATTAATAGCAGAAATTATATTTTCTCATCACACAGAACCATTATCTGGACATTTAGGTATTGCTAAAACCCTACATAAGATAAAAAGCCGATACTATAGGACTAACTTACAAAAAGATGTAGAAAATAAAAAACCAGCAGGATTGTTGCAACCCATACAAGTGGGTACTCCTTTTGACAAAGTAGGAATTGATATTCTAGGGCCTTTTAGAAGAAGCAGAAATGGTAAAACGGTTATAGTGGTAGCAACTGATTACGCAACTAGATGGGCAGAAACCGAGGCTTTATCATCGGGAAAAGCAGGACCGGTGGCAAAATTTATCTTAGAAAAAATTATTACACGACACGGTGCTCCTAGGCATATACTTAGTGACAGAGGTCAAACATTCCGGTCAAAGTCAATTAAGATTAGTCAAAGAACTATTAAGATATATGGGCATTGCAAGTCAATTTACAACAGCTTATCATCCAGCCTGTAACGGACTAACTGAGAGACTAAATAAAACTCTAGCAGATATGCTAGCTATGTATACTAATACACAACAGACGGACTGGGATGAATATCTACCGCACGTAACTTTTGCCTATAACACATGTCGCCAAGATACTACTAAATTCTCCCCATTTATGTTAGTATATGGAAGAGACCCTATGCCCTATACTACCAACAGAAGCAAATTTAATGGGACCTGGAAATTCAGCAGATGCTTGTCAAATTAGAGAAAAAGCTCTTGCTGTAAGGAATATGGCGGTAGAAAATATTTATAAAAGACAAGGGGAAGATAAGGATAGATACGATCAACGTCATCGTCATCTAGTCTTCAAAGAAGGAGACCAAGTTAAAGTTTTTACTCCAATACGGAAAGTGGGCCGATCGGAAAAACTTTTGTTACGTTGGTTTGGCCCTTATTATATAGTAAGAAAAATAAGCGATGTAAACTACGAAATTCAAAAGGGTTCAACTAAAAATGCCAAAAAGGAAATTGTCCACATAAGTCGCATTCTTCCGTATAATGATCCTTGGACTCCTAAAGTTAATTAGATATAGGTAATAAAAATTAGCAGTAAAGATAAGTGTAGTATAAAAAACAAAGTAAAAGTAACTTTAATATTAGATTCATAAATGGCAGGGTATAAAGATAATAATCATTGTTATTAATATATTTATTGTTAAACAGGCTCATCATATCGTATCTAATAGTTTTCTTTAGAAGTAAGAAGAGGTATAATTACTTCGACGCAGATTGGTAGAAGAGAGAAGTAATAAATCAAGGGAACTGGAATGCAACATTTTTTCTCCAGTGTTTATGTTATATAATTCATATCATTTAACCTCCCTTTAGTTACAGGTACTATTAGGTCAGCCGACTGAAACTGCCCTCTATACATAGTATGGAAAAGGAGAAGATATTTTAAAAAATTGCTAATATTGTTTGATTAAGGTAAAACAGTTGAGTTAAGGCGTCTTACACTATAGTGAAAGTTTAATTAAGTGCATTTGGTAAAAGTTAGTAAAACGGATGGCCATCAATACGAAATTTCAATGTTTATTTTTTGCTAGTTTATTTAAGACACTGTCGTGCATGACTTTGGATAAATATTCTTTCATTTAGCAACTTGAAATAAGTTTAAAGAAAAACTAACAGCTGTTTTATATAAATAGGCACAAAATGAATTCTCTATTAAAATTAAAGAGACACATAGATATATTAGCATGTGTATGCATATACATGGAATAGTTAGAAGCCTCAATGTTTATAGGGGGTTTATTTTAGAAAGGAGATGAATTGAGTAATATTGAATGCTTTGATTTTTGATGAAAAAAAAAAAAAATCATTAAGATATCATTTAACACTTTGCCAGAGTAACAACTGTGATTGGTTTATCAGAATTTTAATTACATGACACAATTGTATTTACATTAAAAAAAAAGCCTGTTCCTAATTTATTATAATACAATAGTAAATATGTAATTTTAATATAAGACATAATATTCACTTCTACATTTTCTTTTTCATGGGACGAAAAATGCGAAACACACCACCCCCCAAACAAGTAGCTACACCATCCCGTAGACACTTTTCAACCACGAGCTTGTTGAGGCATGGCATTTCACTATCAATGAGGTACAAATCATATGGAATGGAAAAAGATGATCCAGTAGACGAAAACCAGTAGTAGATGCAGTTCTTATACACATACATGAGTCCAATGTTCATCCAGCAGAGTGGAGCCCAATCAAGAAATCCAGAAAGGCTGAATTAGGACATACGAGTATAATGTATTCAGTCATTCCTAATATTCACTCTGTCCATCCATTAACTTCAACAATTACGTATACTGTTTAAATAGTCTTCAAATACGTAACACTGTTCTTATTTGACAAGCTTAAATCCAGGAACAGAAGAGAAAACACAGCCATCCCAGTTTCAACCAATATGAGAAACATCGCATCAGCAACAAGAAATGGTTCATTGTCCAGTTCGTTTGTCCTCGTTTGGTCTTCTTCGTTCGTAGAAAGGTGCCAACCACACAAGCATGTGAATGAGACATGAGTGTTCCTAAAAACTTCATTAATAGTGTTGGAAAGTTAACAGTATCGGAACGCGGGGTGTAGTTACGAAAAACTAGTACTTATTTATATATCAAGACAATGTGCGTGTGTGTGTTTACGCTAGACATTTAGTGCGGGGTAATAAATAATGTTTTTCTGTATTGCATTTTGTATTTTTTCTTTCCATTGTACACATTATTTTTGTAGAATTAATTTTAAGATCATTTGTTTGTGTAATTTTATGTATCCTGTATTTTACTTTCCTCAAAGCTGTGAGGCCAGCTTTTACAAATGGAGGGGGAAATGTCAACTATAGGTATTTTAGAGAGAGGGAAGAGTAATATTCAAAATTTAATCATCCTGTAAATGTAGAAACTGAAAGATAAATATGTATGGGCATATGGCACTATTTTATTTGGACACATTTTTCTTTAGTAGATTTTTACAAAAACAGTACAAATACTTATTCATTTCATAGAACAAAATTTATAAATATAATTCGAATCAATAACATGTCGGTATTGCACAATAGATTTAAAAGCAACGAAAAGTGTCCAGTTGCAAATTGAATGCATACCGAACTGACCCTTGCACTATATCCATCTCGCTCTCTCTCTCTCTCTATAAACTGGCGAACTGATTCATACATTGTTCCCGATTCTTCTACCGGTGGTTTAATTCTAATGCTCTCAGCATTTTGTAAAGAATATTTAAACCCCGGAAACTTGGTGAATCGGTGCCAGTCAGGAGCCACCTTGAGAGCCAGTTGATGGCCAGGAGCCTCCACTTGACAAGCAAACAGCCCTTGGAGTGTAAGTATTTTATTTTATAATAAACCGTAAAAACTGATTGATTTGTGTGTTTTTCCCTCTCCGCAGCTAAGCGAGTAGCCCGAAGCAATAATCTTTTTTTTACCAATTATCTTTTTTGTATTTTAAACGGGAGACGTGACAATATTGGCCAAAGTTGTCATTTTAATAGAGGTAAGTTGGTCTAAATCGTAAAAGATTTATTGGAATAAATCTAAATACTCATTTGCCATAACTAATAACTGCAGTAGAAAATTAAGATATATTTTTCTCAGAAAGGAGGTATATCTTCTTTATAGTAAATAAAGTAAAGTCAAACAACTGCTGTGTTTTCTCAAAATCTCTACCAACAAACAAAATTTAAGAAAAATAAAATTAAAAAAAATAAGTTGTTTGACCATCCCAAATACTTTGACCATTCCAAATACTTTCCCATGTCAAATTAAAAAAAAAATATATTGAAAAGGTGGATTATCATAACAAAATTAAACAAATGTATTTCTTTTCAAGGAAGTACAGAGCCTTCATAAATTTTTACTGCAAGCATGTTACCGGCGAGCTTAGGCAACCCAACAATACACAATTGATACTAATAACAAAATTCCCCAAATCTTGGTGCCACCAATACTTGTATTTATGATTCATTTCCAATGAATAATGACAAAGCATTACGTCTATGCTAGAGACAATGCAATTGCTTGCTGATTGGTTGAATAGAATCTCGTGAAAAATTATACCAATCACAGCCAATACAATAGATTATTGTATTTTAATGTAAGCTTGATCTTATTTTAATTTTACTGAAACATATTTGCCAACGTGAAGGAAATAGAATTACTATTCCAAACAAAATTACTGGTCACGTGGCTTGTAATCATATATGAAGCCTCTGTATTTTAGAAGTATTTTTGGTTATTTGCTTTGTTTTGGTCTGACGAAGCTTTAGCTTTCACAAGGAAAAAACTTTCTACAGAAAATAGAATATCAAAAAAATTTCTATCAATTTCCTTTAAATATTTGCAAAATTCATATTTACCTCCTTTCACCTGGATTAACAGTAAGTCCATAATGTATATCTGTATTCCATGGATTAAATTTCTCTCTACTATTCATCTCACTTTCTAAATGTTCTCCAATATATTCACTTCTATCTACTTCATAATCAGAATGACTTTCCTCACTTCCACCATCCATTCTTTCCATTCGCATTACTTTAGAGTTTTTCTGATAAATTTCTCCATTACTTCTTCTGGAGGAGGCTCTTCTGCGTCTTGTAATTGTATAATGCATAGAATCATAACCTTCCCTACGCATCATTTCTGGTAAATATCGACGCCTCGCATTTATAAACCAATTACTAATTTGTAATACAGTTAAGTTAGTCTCTTGTGATAAAATGTGTTTCTCTATTTCAGTCGGATATGCATTAAACCGATGTTCATATAACCAGTTTTTTAGAATTTTAACAGAATCTTTGGGAAGATGGCCTCTTCGTTTTACTGTTTTCTCCACACATTCATATGTTTCGTATTGATACATAATAGGTACATTTTCATCCTCAGAGCCCGACTCATTTTCTTCAGCACTACTTATGGAATGAAATTGTTTATGATCTAAAATAAATTACAGTTACAAAAATACTCTTAAAACATGGACTACAAACCTGTATTTTCTCTAATATGATACTGTTTTGATGATGACATATTTGATACATAACAAGTACAATTTAAGAATTTCTATGGTTCTCCTAAAAATTTTAAGCCTTAATTCTACCTTTCATTCAAATTCCTCGAAGAACAGATAAATCTCTAATAATAAAACATTTTACAAATAAGCAAAACTGTAAAACGTTATATACATAACTTCTGATAATTAATACATGTTTGATGGTTTGTTTCTGTCGAAATCATATATTTGATACTAGGATTGCTACCATTAGATATAACCATAGACCTAATAAACTACTGGATCGTCCAACTATGATTTTGCCGATAAAAACGGCAATCACACAGACGTGTGCGAGAGAGATAGAACTAGTGCGGGCTAACGCTTCGTTCACAGAACTTCGACTGTAGTTCCGCACTTAATTCAACCAATCAGCTAGCTATACTCGATACCTTACACCTTTTTTCTATTGGGCCGCATTCTCGTTTGAAGTTAAATGATTTTAAATACATTCATGTGTGGCGGCTACACTTGAAAGTATGGTTAAGTTAAAAATTTTGAAAAAACCTCTCCAAGTAACAAAATTACTAAAATACATATATTTATTGATCATTTTCGACAATATATTTGTATTAACTCAAACTGAATTAAATTCGATTTTTTTTCTTTTAACAATACGGTTTTTTGTCCGAGTAATTTTAATTAATTATTATTAATCAATAAGTATATAAGTAGCATATGTAAAGGGGTTTTGTACTAATTGTACTAATTCCAGTGTATACTTAGTTTAGTTTAGTTTAGTTTATTTTGCATATAAACATTATTACATGTATAGCAATAGTCAATATAATCATACAGTAAAACTGTACACTATTATTACAAATAAAAAAAATAATTGTAAATCTAAAAACATTGTGGTATAACAACCCTAGGTTCGACAAAAAATAACTAAACGTAGTTGTGGCCAAAAATATGTGTGATCGTCATAAGGAATCCCTACGTTGTGTGTATCCATTTTTAATTGACCGGAAGGCACTGGCTACTAACTTTGTAGAGGGGATGTATGGTTTAATTATATAAAACAAAAGCAGAGTAAATACACCTAACCTTTATTTACATACAATTCAAATTAAACATGTGACAAATAGAAAGAACAACAAAAACATTAACAACCATT